TCACCTGTGAGCTTGGTTATGCCTTACATTCTGAACATCACAGTCTTATCAGCAAGCCAGTTTTTAACAGTTGCCCATATTAATTCAATTCTTGGTGATAAGGTAGTAGTCACAAAACTGAATGATCATGTTCAGCTGGATCCTGCCAAAGTTGTAGGTGAGTTTCTATTAATTTACACAAATCTGGCATACCATTTCTTCTGTATATGAAATTGTTTTTTCGCTCAATCAAGTTATCATGGTGACTTTCTTTGCATTTGATGTTGGAGCTGGATCATTTTGAACATTGTGTGGTTCAGAGTGTTATCTGTTACCAGAACATTGTGTGGGGGTAGATTTGGAATTGGCCTCTCTGTTAACCACTTATAAAAATATTTGTAATTCATGTCACTGTGATGATTTCCTGTAGTTTTATGGGATTTTGAACAGATGTATCCTTCAGGAATGAAACCTTGGTTACCACCAGCATGTACTGTAATCAACTATTGCCCTTTAGAGGCAGGAGCAAGCAGACTACTGAAGGAATTGTTACTCAAACCAAATTGCACTGAGTGAGAGCCATGGGTATCTTATCCATAGACAGCATTGGTCTACTTTAACTTATATACTTCACTATACTCTCTGATATCCTCAAAGCTGTGTTATTGTGGTGTACCATGACGATGTATCAATTAGTTTTATTCTGAAACCTAACATTGTTAGCAATTTTCTTAAAGAAGTTGATAGGCTCGAAGCAAACCTGATTGACTGTAATCAGTGTTGGGCCTTGCTTTTCAGTGATATAAAGGTCATGAACAATACTATGAATAACATGTTCACTGAACCCGAATTACTGAGTTTTTTGGCCTTTGTCAATCATATGGTATTGTAAAAAACTAGAGAACAACTTTTTGAAAACTGGAGTCCAGTGAGTGAAGTTAGCTCTTCCTAAGGGACTCAACAGAGTAGGAGTATCCCCCCCTCACCTGAAGATGGGAAGAGATCCAGCTTCCAAAACATTGTGTTCTGTAAAGTTTTAGAATGCTGGACAATGGACAAAGCCAAAAACCCAGTAATTACAGTACTATCATTGGAACTCTTTAGAATTTATGTTCATGGAAGTTGTGCATCATTGATTTAGGGGATGATACAAGACTGTCTACATAAGGAGTCAAGAACAGAATTCTATGTTTTTAATTTTCTCACTATTTTTCTATCAGACCTCTCTGACAGCCCTGTTGCATCTGCTGCTCTTTCTGCATTTTCATGAGATTTGTGGGAATCCCTGCACCAGCTTCCCTTTCCATAAATTTATATACTCTGCCCACAGCCTCTCATGTTTGGCTGTGAAAAGCTTTGCTTGATATTTTCTTAGATTAGGTTGTATTTTAAAAGCACCCAAATATTTTGTTGTGCATGAGTTTCACAGCTCACCAACATGAGCAATGTCAGCTCACATGTCCACAGCTGCAGCACATGTAACCCAGACATCCCTTAGTGAAGCACTTGACCAAACCCATGGCACAACCACAAATGAGAGGCCAGGAAGAATAACTGTAGTGCAAATGCAGTTTTATTTTGATGATATTAATTTTTATAAAGAACAGGATAATATTTGCACTACTGATTTCTCATTAATGATAAATTGGTGATGTGAATGCCACTTGAATGTCACATTACTTCGCTGTATAAAAGAAAATAATATTCACATCATGAAAATTCTCATGAACAAACAATTGATGATGGGAATGCACCTTAAGTTAGGTTTCAATGTGATAATATTTTTATAAAAACAATATTCACTTAAGGAGAATTAAAAATAAAAAAAAATCACCTAAAATATGTTTTGTAATTAATTATTGGTACCCAATTCACATCTGTTTGCAGTATCTGAACTTCTGAAAATTACCACATGTAGTTTCAGTATTCAGTAAGTTTGCTCACCCCAAATGTAATATTTCCAACAGAACAGTGCATTTTGGAAACTGGATCTATTCCTCTCCTCAAGCGAAAAGACTGTAATGTGTATATAAAATTGTGCATATTCAAAAGATTCAATCCCGTTCACCGTGTTCTCTTTGGAATACCAAGGGATGGACAAAATCCAGAAGAATTATAACATTATTGTGTGAACCTATAAGATTTTATGAAATTGTTACTTAACAACAGAAATTGCATTTATTAATGAGGATATTATGGAACATTTGTGTGCAAGAATAGGTTATGAATGGTAAAAAATATACTGTATCTTACAAATTTAATAAAATGAACTGCATGGTTAAAAACTCTTGTGTAAGCTAGGAACCACATGAGCCAGTTGTTTTTGGTGTTGAAAGAGTGTGTTGCTAAGAATGGGTGTAAACTACTACTGTAATTTTGATAATTTCTCTGTTCAGTGTCTCAATGCATTTGTACATGCTGATAGAGAGTATTTTAATTTTATGTTTTTCTCACCTCACAGCTTCAGAAGAGTACGGAAAATTGGTTTACATGTTGTTGACTCGCCAATTAAGTGACTGACAAGACTTTTTCTTTTCTTACTATATGAACACAAGAAGAATATCTATATTCTCTCTGTTAGTGGACTTGTCCATTCAAATGCAGTATCATGGGAAGGTTATATATATTTTCCATTTACTTGGCCTTTAGCATTTTGTGACATGTGAAGGCTGCACATGCAGAAATATTGGATTTGAGGTTCACATGCCAGAGAATATTAAGATTACTGTCTTCTGGTATATGATGCTGTGTAGATTGGGAGGTAGTTATGAACATTTTGGAGGAACCTGTTTCCTATGAAACAACATGGCATTACATTACAGAAGACACAATCTTAAAACAAAGAGTGTCAAGAGGCCCCGATAATTTAGAGGGTGGAAATGGCAACATAACAAGGGATGTATGCAGGCTACAATGGGTTATCATGTGACATGGCATCCTCAATTGAATCATCAGTTGTAACTAAACACCAGTTAAGGCAGACAAAGAGTGCACATAAATAAAATTAACTAAAGAATGCAGTGAATGTGCTGCTTGTAAACACTATATATAATACTGTACCAGTTTACAGTAGTTCACTTTATGTTTAGATTTTCAGTGATACCCATAAATTTATTATCATGTGAAAAAAATTTTCTCCTTAAAAGAGCTCACTAAAGGCATTTGTGTGGTATTGTACGGTATTTATTTTGCACACATTATATGTATGTTATTCAGTTTATGTTGCTTCTCCATCATCTTAGGTAATGCAGTATCAATGGGTAACTGTGAATTATGAAGTCAGAAAGAAATGGATGAGGCTAATTTAAAGTACTGGCCTAGAATCTGGCACTAAGGATTGGGAAAACTACAAGAAAACTTGTCAGCATAACCTGTGGACTGAGCACTGAACCCAACCCATCCTTAATACAAAGCAGGAATACTAAACACTCAGCATAGTGTTAAGTGCATCTCTGTGAGTAGTTTGAAGACAAAGTGGTAAATGACACTACTAATCGTTGTTGTATAAGGGGCAATCAAATGAAAACAGGTCACCACGCATAACTCACACAGTGTGCAAGTTGGTAAAACTGGAATTTGCTTATGGTACGAACATCTGGTGGGGACTCAGGAAAGCACAGTGACGTGCCCTTGCACACTAGTCGTTTGTTTATTCTGCTGGAAGTAAGGTTAGCACTACATATGGTCACCTAACATCAGTAATGAAGGCAGGTAAAGAAGAACAGCAAAGCATAGTGTGCTTCTTAACTGTTGAAGGAGTAGGAGGACGAGAAATTCATCATCGAATGTCTGTTGTTTACAGCGAACACAGCATGTCACGTTCGCATGTGCTGGTGTGACATAAGAGATTCTGAGAGGGACGTGTGTCACTGCAAGATGACGATCGCCCAGGACAGGCTCATTGTGTCATCACTCCTGATGTTATTGCTGTGTTGAATGGTCATATATGGGCAAACTGATGGATCACTGTGGAAGAAATTAGTCTTTTGATGGGAATAAGTCACGGTTCCGTACATGCCATTGTGACAAAACCTGCTCTACTGCAAAATCTGCACGCAGTGGGTTCCACATCAACTCACCAAGGAACAGAAGACTCAGAATGGCTGCATGACTGGGTCACTTGCAACAGTACTTTGAGGAAGAGTATGCTTTTCTGTCCCGTATTGCCACTGGGATGAAACTTGGTGCCACCATTTTGAACCCAAGAGCAAACGGCAGAGCCAACAGTGGAAACATGTGAATTCTCCCCCACCGAAGAAATCCAAAACCGTACATACCAATTCTTGTAAAGTGATGATGACGTTCTTGAACTGCAAGGGCCCTCTGCTTGTCAACTCTCTCGAGCATGGGGCCACAATCAGTGCACAGCGCTATGAAGACACTTTGCAGAAACTGAGACGTGCTATAAAGTCAAAACACCTGGAATGCTACCAAACGGCAGTATCCTTCTTCATGATAATGCGCGCCCCCACATTGCCAACTCTGTGAGGTATATGCTACAAACCTGTAGATTTGGTTGGGACGCGCTTCAACATGCCCTCTACAGCCCAGATCTCTCCCCATGTGATTTTCACATTTTTGGAGACCTGAGGAGAGGCATTTGTGGACATCGGTTTGCATCAGATGAAGATATGTATGGCTGGGTAAAGATGTGGTTCCATAGACAGCTCACAAGCTTTTTCAAGGATGGGATTGACTGTTTTATTTCCCAGTGGGATAAATGTATTGACAGTTTGGAAATTACTTTGGAGGTAAGAAATGTTCTTTAATGTGTTTTGGCTTCTGACACGTTTTCATTTGAGGCCCCTCGTATTACGTTGTATATCCAGAGAGGTAAGTTTCTGGAACCATATTCTTTAATACACTTAAAAAATGTTGGTATTTCAGCAAATGTGCTTTAATGTTGCCAAAACTGTCAGTAGTATATCCCAAGGCACAAATGTCCTGCATTGTAAAATTTAGACTGTGGATCTAAGTATATTGAAAGACACTGCAGTAACTGGATAGGAAAACAGCAATCATATATGGTATTTTATAAATTTATTTTATCAAAACTGGTGACCAGGTTTTCAGAAACAGACACAAGTATGATGTACTATGATGGATAAGGAAAATAGCGTTTTCACTGCAGTTATCACCAAATCTAGTATTTCATTTGCTGATCAGCTAATGTAAATTTTCATTTGTGATAAGTTTTCCTACATTGCATTAATCACTGCATCTTGAATTTTTCTGCTTTACTAAATGTTTCCATAAATGCTAGTTCCTAGAACAACCATTTGATGTTTGTTCTTTTGCTTCTTTGTTAATTTGCTTGCATCTCTGTGTGGCTGCCTCAATGGCACCAATGAGGGCTGTCCGCAGTCCGTGTTGTTCAAGGAAGTGAAGCCCCTCCGCTGTTGAACCTAAGTGAATACAAGTGAAACTTGAGACAAATGGATATTTACAAATAGTTACTTGTTGTGCTGTTCACACACACACACACACACACACACTGTGCTGTTATCTAGCTTTTTGAAAGCATAGTCTGTTGTATTTCAGCAAAGAATAGAGAGATTTTGAAGCTTTTTTATCATTAATATATACCATCATGGTTACAGGGCTCTTAGGGTCACATCATCTCTTTATCTTTTTAATGGAATTTGAATGGATCTCTCTCCTTATAGATAGCAGTTAGTGGTCTGTTTTGGGAGCCTATAATTTTCCATTGGATTAATGCATTGAAGGTGTTAGTACGTAGTATACCCATGGAGTTTTTTTGTGTGTAAACATTTAGTTTTGAGTTTGTTAAATTTAATTACTTCAGTGGTGAAAAAGTGCATATTCTGTAAGTTTTGATATGAAAGAGGAAATGGAACATGTTGGAATAAACTTAGAAATCCAATAAATAAATGTATTTATATGTATGTAAATGTGATGGGTACCAGGGCTCTTTCCTCAGGGTAAAGCAGCCCAGGCATGAAGCTGACTACTCATCTCCATATACAGGGGATGAACAAAGATATGGAAACACCCAACAAAAAACATTACCATGACTAATATGGTGTATGACAACCTCTGGCTTACAGAACTGCTTGCAGTCTCCTTGGAATGGATAGAGGTCCTGTATGATATGCAAGGGAATCTTGTACCATTCTTCCTGAAAAACATGGTAAGTTCTGTTATCAATGATGGAGGTGGATAGCGCGCATGCAGATTGCTCTCCAAAACAGACCACAAAGGCTCAATAATATTGATATATGGCAATTGTGGGGCCCGTGGCAGATGTCACTTCATCTTTGTGCTCAGAAAACCAGTCCTGGATGATGTGAGCTGTGTGAAAATGGGCATTGTTGTCTTGGTAAATGGCATCACCATTGGGGAACAAAGTTTGCACCATGGGATGGACCTGGTCGCCCAAAATGGTCACATAGTCGTAGGCAATGACGTGACCTTGCAGGGTAATGGTGGGTCTGACAATACCACAATGGGGCTGCTCATACCATGATCGAACCCCCGCCATGTTTCACTCTTGGCAGCAAACAATCTGGATCATAAGCTTGGGATGGCGTTCTCCAGAAGTAAATCGGCCAGAAGTTGGAAGCAGTGTGAAGGTGGACTCATCTGACCAAATGACCATCTTCCATTGCTCCATAGTCCAGGTTTTATGACCTTGGCACCACACTCTCCTTTTAGTGGCATTTTGATCACTCATGAGTGGCTTTGGAATTGCAGCTCATCCAGAAACACCCTGATTGTGGAGTTCCCTTCATACTGTTTTGGTGCTGACAGGGTTTGTGAGCATGACATTCAGTTCAGCAGTCACTTTTGCAGCTGTAGTCTTCTTATTTTTCGTCACAATCCTTCGCAATGTTCATCTGTCTCAATCACTCAACACACATTTCCGACCACCCTGGTGTTTATCAGATGCAGTTTTTTCAGTCCTCCTGTATGCAGTCATAATCTTGGATACTGTGCCTTGCGATACACCAAAAACCTCGGCTACCTTGGTTATGGAGGCACCCCCCCAACAATTTGCCCACATTCACATTCTGTTAGCTCTGACGTGATGCACAGAACACTGTCTCGACAACAAATGAAGCTTGCAACGTATTGCAGAAGTTGTACAGGTAGTGGTGTTGGGCAGATACGGCAGCGTGACCTACAAACGTCGCTAAAATAAACACTTCAATTCAGGCATGCATTTCACGAGGTGTTTCCATATTTTTGTCCATCCCCTGTAGCACTTGGGTGGAGCTATACCTCCAGTCCCTGGTATGTCTTCTTGGCATTGTGCTTAATGAATCAAGCACAGGGATGACATTTTTTATGTACATAAATTTAACTTTCTTTCAGAGCTTCCTAGTTCCTAACACAGACATAGTAGAGAACATCCACACTGTGAAATTGACTTCATACTCTTGCTAGTATGCTCAGTAGGCACAACTGTTAAGGCAATGTGCAAGTATTTTTGTAGATATTGAAGTCTTAGGGATATGAAGCCATGTAGTTTGATAGTTAGGTACCAACATTTTTGAAGAACCTGCTGCCTTCATCTTCAGGGTGGATTCCTCTACCCTGAAGATGGAGGGGGCAGGTTCCTCAAAAATGCTGCTTCATACCTACAAAACTACAAGGCATCACATTGTAGTAGACCATAATCTTCATACACAGTATTGTGAAAACCCCAGATGTAGCATTTTATTGTGATTTTGAGTCTCTTTTTTTCTTAAGTTACACGAGTAAATTTTAATTTCTTAATTTCAGTGTCGTTCCTTCATGATTGTAGCTCTGTATGTAGTGATACTGACAAGAAAAGCAACCACATCCCAAGTCAGTTTGGGTACTTCTCTTTGTCATAAATAAGAAGACATCATATTTTTGTAGTACTTGGAGCTTTCTACAGACTGCAAGATTATGCTGAAATTAACTTTGTTATTTTATATGGCAGTGATGATATTAACAAGCATGGACAAATGTATCCTTTGGGATGACATAGAAATAATTTATTTAATTTAATAGTGAGTTTCTTGAAACCAGTGTTGTAAAATTGTGCAAGATGTAACATGTATGTTATGGATACCTACAGCCTTTATTAAGAAACATTTTGTTCAAGTGAATACTTAGTGAGATATACCCAAAATTGTATTTAGGCATTAAGCAAATATGGCCTTAAAACAAATTAAAGTAGACAAAACTCACGTATAGTGAGAAAAGTATGAAGGATGCTAAGTTAATGTATGCTGTTCTGTAATTTTTATTGAAATGCACCTTGAAAATAATGCTGTTGTCTTGTGAATTCTGCATCATATTCTGGGCATTCCTTTCTCATAGAATAAACTGTTTATTACTGATGAAACATTAACACATTGAGAACCGGTCGCATGATATCATGCTTTTGGCTTTTAAATGTGGCAGACCGGTCGCATGATATCATGATTTTAGGATATGTTAGGTTGTAACACACTATACCTTGCTCTGGTGCCACCCAAGTTGCATGCAATGGCATAATAAAACTCTGGAATATTTGCTTACTTGTCAGTAGCTTGACCTCGCTGTTTTCTTAACGCACTATAAACGAAAATGCTTTGCTGCTCTTCGAGCTGTATGTACCAGCCAGTAGTTAGTGGTGGGGTATGGACAAGGACAAATTCTTCTCCGATGAGCTAGATGACCTGGCTTGTGAGACGTATAGTAATGGTGATTCAGAGAGCGGCAGTGACGGGAGAACAAAGAATTGTGGCCAGACAGTAAAAGTGACAGTAGCTCCGACGATATTGGGGGTAATAACATTGTGGGGACTCACATTGCGGGGACAGTAAAAAATATAAAAAAATCACAAAAATCTAAACCCTGATTCAAAATTGAAATATAAAGCATTTCTGATGACTGTGGCAAAGACTTGGGCTTCAGACCAGATGGTGGCGGCAGAACCGGGGTCAGACACAGACTTAGTTTGACTGTGCCCATCAACTCCCACCCCCACACAGGCCTCATGTGGACCCCCCAAGGTGACTCTCAGGTGATATGTAGAAACATACCCTCATGAAAATTGTGAAGAGTGAACATTCCAAGAAGAAGCATCCTTCTAGGCAATGCCGTGTTTGCACAGTTCACAAAAAAAGGATTATGTCTACATTTGCAAGTTCTGTGTAATGCCACTTCACAAAGGGGAATGTTTCCAGAAATATCACACTCTCAAGCACTTCTAGGAGCATTGGTAAGTGTTTTCCAAAAATTTTAGTTCATAAAATTAATTAGGAGATTTTATATTAATTTTTAAAGTGAACAGTGCACAATTTAGGATAGCAGCTTTAATGATGGTGGCCCCAGGGTGATTTAAATATTTAAATTGCCGGTCCGCAATGTGTTAACACTTGAGATGTGTAGGCAGTGATGTGAGAATAATAAAATGAATCTTACAGAAACAGACCTGGCTCAGGACAGAGTTTGATATCAAGATTTTACAAGAGCTGGTTGAATTACCTGCTGGTGATGTCACATTGTCTTTGAGTTGTGCTGGATGAGTTTTGGTAGTGAGCACCATGCTGCCAGCACCAAGAACTGTCTGAGCTGCCAGTCTGTATGCTAGATCCCTTGGTACACCCATTCTCACTGCTCCATCAGCTAGTGCCTCAATTATGATGTATACCTGGCAGCACACTATGGGTTTTCACATTGCTTTGTGTTAAAGAGTTCTGGATTTGATTCTTGGCCGAAGACTTGCTGTCTTGCCTGTGATTTTCATGATTTTCCTCACTCCCTAGACACAGCTTATTGGGATACAGCCATGAAATAATCCACAGACAGTTTCATTCAAATACTTTCCTTACAGTTAGCCTACCATTTGACACCATATAACCAGTAAGCTGAAATGTGTCATTACATAAATCAGAACAGTCATTCATGCAATAAAATTAACTTTAACCTGTTCGAAAGTACCAGGGTGCTAAATGAAATTAGATGGTCAACTGTGCTGGTCCAGTGGTTCTACAGCAGTGACAATGAGGAGTATGATTTCCTGCGTTGTGTTGCCATATAGTTTAGTAGACGTCCACAAATGTAGCAGAGAAAAATTAGTGGACTTCTACTGGGCTACATGGCGTTACAACCCACAAAACATATTCTTCAAATGGGCAACATGATTTTAAATTTTAAAGATCAAAATGCATATCATTCACATAATTGATATCAGCACACTGCAGTTTGAACAGAGGTACCTCAGTTCATTACGAACTTAATGTTGGTACCACATAACCTCAGAAAGATTATGCTGTTGCTACGTTCCCTTTTTATGACACACAGAAGACCACAATCTGGTTCACACAAAATTTGTAAATGTCTTTATAATTTCCAACTTTCGTGATTACTGCTGTCAAAATCCAGTGACAGTGGAACTGTTTTATTTGTTTTGGGGGTAGAGGGTGGCATGACTGAAAACTGTGAGATGAAGTGGTAAGCATTTGATCTTCAGAAATAATTGCCTCCATTCTTGCAGTATAAACATCAAAGTAACAGCTCTACATAATTGTATGTTTTTTTTAATGATATTGTGACTTGATGCCTGGAAGCCATAATATGACCATCTGCTAGGCAATGCTTTGTTAAGAACATTCCCATGGCAGCGTGCACTAGACTGTTGCTGGACAACGGTTTGGTAAAAGCATTACCGTATAAATGGATACACAGATTATAACAGATGAACCGTTCAAGTGTGTGTTCTGTTCGCAGTCTGACAGGATCATAAAAGGATATGTGATTTGTTTGCAATCAGTTTTACTGAGTAGCAGAAGAGTAGAGACTAGAGACCAGTCCAAGATTCGGACAGTAGTCAGAGATTCCTCATAGAGATTCGTACAACAGACGTCATTAAGGAGTTCAATATGTGAGCTGTTATAATTGACTGTAATTGTGATAGAGATGTCCACTAAATTCAATCATCAAATCTAGAACCCACAATTGTTCGTCAGACAACCCCATACATGTTATAATATTCATAATTAACGATTACATTCAGTGGAAGTACAGGTCAGATGAGACAAAGGTGGCACTGAAACAGCAGGCAGTTATAACTTCTTCTATGGAAATGGGAATGAGAATCACAAATAAGGAACAGGAATTTTTGTGCATAAGAGAATCTTATGCACAAATTTGGTTTTCTTCTAATGATGACTGGCACTCACCTTCTGGCATGTGATGCAATATAGTTTGGTAAATGGGTAACAATATATAGGAGGAACATGCTGCATCTTATGATAGAAGCTTGCTATTTTGTCATTATGTCAAGTTATGTGTCAGATCACTGTTGGTAGTATTTATAAATAAAGGGTACAAGATGACAGGAATAATTAGCAGTGAGAAATATTCTGGAATTGGTATTTGCCAAATGAAAGTAATAGTGTACCTGTAGATAGCAGCACTGCTTGGTGCATACTCCTGTTCTGTTAAGTTTAGTATTCTTCCCAGAACTCTTAAAGTTCACAGTGTGCATACTTGAATTCCATGAAAATGTGATTTCAAAGTGTCCCTTAAAGGCTGTGATGTATAAATGTGGAATAGAGTGAAATAAGGACAGCTCGATCGAGCATGGTGTTGGTAACTGCAGGAGTCAAACTGCAGTTATGTTAGTGTCTTATGTACAGTAAAATATGTTACTTACATATGCAGGACCAGAACCACTTAGAGCTGTGATTGTGTCCACGAGTGATTCTGGAACTTTATCGCAAGTTCCAACAGCTTCCAGCAGCTGACGTGTGATGGCCTCATCTTCAGATTGTACTGATGACCCACACACAAAAACTGATGCACCATTCCTTACAAGGACAGGTGTGTTGGTCATCACTCGCATAACTCTTGTGGCAGGGGGTAAAGTCTGTCATTGTATGCAAGAACAATTGGCTGGTCAGAAACAGACATTATTTACAATGAAACAAGGGCACAAGACAGTAGTGGAAGGAAGCAGTTGCATCCCCCAAAAACCCAATTAGAACAATAGTCAGAATGGCTTACAGTTTAATCAGAATATAAGGTGCCTGATGAATTTGTTTCTACATTTCTTTTGTTCTTTTTAACTATAATTTGATATGAAGTTCGAAGTTCTTATGGCAGTGAATATAAAAATTATGGCCTGAGCTAGATAATAAGGGAACCTGTGTAAATTGTATTTGTCTGCAAAGTCAACTTAGTGAAGTGCTAGAGGAGCTTAAATCTTTAAAAACTATAATTTTCTTATTACAAAAAGAACATGGATTTAGTTATACCGATCTAGCGCAGTCTGAACAAGGTAAGACTGATTCCCCAGACCTTCTTGGCATGCATGAAAGCCATATACAGTGCATGGTCCATGATAAAGGACATGATCAAGAGTATAATTACACTCAGAAATGGAAAAGTTCAAAACACATAAGGACAACCAGAAGGATGGAAATCCAGTGAATAACCAGTGTATCATAACCACTAACTGGTTTGAAGTGGTGTTGAATCTCAAAGAGCATGAATTCAAAAAGGTAACTCTTCAACAAACTAGTGGGAAGGTTAGAAGGAAAAAGGATAATCTTCAAAATTCAAGAAATAAAATTTTAATTCTTGATGACAGTCATGAAAGAGGAATGGCGACTAAACAACAACATAACCTGGGAGAAATGTGTACAAAGAAGTGGCGATTATGTGGAAAAATAAAGAAAGGTCTGTAGATTGAGGTGGTGTATTTGGTTTGTCAATAATAAAGCATGTTAGTTTACAAAAATTTGTTGCTCATGACTTTCAGTACGACCCTCGTATTTGAGATTTCAGCATGACATTGCTCTTTGCCCTCTACCTCATTTAATTTCTTGAGATTGAACCTCTCCATTTGTGCTCTGTGCGTTGTTTGCCCACTGTCAGTCTTTCCCTAACCTTTGCCACCACCAGGTAGAAGTCAGTATCACAATCTCCTGCCCTGAATGATCAGAAATCAAGTATACTTCAATGCCGTCTCCTATCTATCAACATATGGTCCATTTTATTGTGTGTCTTCCCATCAGGAGATGACCAAGTAAATTTGTGGATGTAACGATGTGGGAACATTGTACTTTTGACAGTAAGATTTTTTGATGTAGCAAATTTTACTACTCTAACTCCATTATCATTACTAATTTCATGCAAACTCTCATTCCCAATCATTGGTTTGAAAATGTCTTCCCTCCCTACTTTGGCATTGAAATCTCCTAGCAAAATGTCCATAGGGTACTTCGGGAATTTATCAAATACATGTTCTAGTTCTTCAGAGAACCTGTCCTTTATGTCATCCATTTTATCTTCTGTCGGCGTGTGAACATTCGTAACGATGATACCACACCAGCAACCTTTTAGTATTATGTACGATATGCTATCACTAACGAACTCTACCCTCTTAACTGCTGATACGATTATCTTATATACAAAAAAACCTGTACCTAATTCATGATTTTCATTCACCTTTCCATAGAAAAATGTATATTTGCCTGCTGGTGCGATGTTCCCTCCGTCCCATCTGACCTCCTGTTGCCCACTAAGTCTAATTTATGTATTTTAAGATTTCTTCCCCCACTGCCCTGAGTGCCCCTGCACTATACAAACTTCAAACATTCCATGTAACAGTGTACTGTACAATGTGAAAGAAATTTGGTCCTCAGAAAGTCTACTGTTGTTTTATCAGATTTGAGTCAGAAAATATGCATAATCCCTGCCATGAAATACACAAATGTCCATCTTAAGATTATGTCTTGGAAAGATGCAAGATTCTGTGCTGGGCTGAACAAAGTTAACCAGCTCTACTGACGCACCTGCTCAATGTCCTGGATGGAAACTCCCATGACTGTGGAGAGAAGGAGATGTCTCTTGTAGACATGTGGCCTGATGCTGCTGAGTACGGCTGGAATATTCTCAGGCTTTACAGTAAGAAACACTATGTCTGATTGCTCCATAACCACTCGATTTTCACTTGATGTCTGGGTACCCAGCAACTGTGTAAGCAGTAATGACAAGAACTGGAAACCATTGGTACACTGTATTTTGTGTAAAAGTAGACTCACCCAGTTCATAATGATACATGTTCACAATAACTTATGGGTGTATAGCACTGGAAGACAGGTTTGTAACATATTATAATATAATATAAACTAGTATAATGAGGTTTCCGGAAAGATAATGCATTAGAAAAGTTGGGAAGGCTTGTATTAAGAAAATAATGTATACATGCTATGGTCTTCCTGTTATAACGTTGTTGTAGTCCTGTGAGGTGTACTAATGTTTCAGTTGAACCTGCTGCCATAAGCTAGAGGCACTAGGTTCGTCTAAAACACTGGTACCTACCTATTGAACTACAAGATGTCATAATCTAGAACTTAACGATGTGAAAACATAAAATCTTATAAAACTATATACAGCCTCCTCTTTAGGTCCCATGTGTATATGTGTATCCAAAGTTTGCCAGTGACAGTGATTTTTATGTCTGAAGGATAGCAAGGCAAAGCTGTTTCCATAAACCACTCATCACACATATTTTGTGAATATATCAGATATGAGGAATGAATATTAAGACAGTGATCCCCAGGGAAATGACACCATGAAGTTTTGTTGATGGTGGCCATCTTCAGGGATATGTCATCTTATGGTATGGTAGATGCTTAACATTATTAGGAATATCACATCTTGTAGTACAGCAAATGGTGACCACCTGCAGTTACACTTCATAAACTGAATTAAACATTAATTTTCTTTTGAAAAATGTCCAAGGACTCAGAAAAGTAAGCTGAGGCTGTGCTTAGTATATACAGTTTTGAAACCCTTGTTAAGAATGTTCTGAGTACAGAGCTTATCAGACTTCATTTTTTATTTCATTTAGCTTCATTTTACTTTAAGGTAAACATATTTACAGTTGTAAGTTTTGAGGTTTTCACGGCGATGACAATGAAGAAAGTCATCTTCTGGGTTTAGGCCAAAACGAAGAATACACGGTGCCTAAACCCAGAAGACGACTTTCTTCATATTTACAGTTATTCAAAGTTTTGCAAAATGCTGAACAATGTCAGTGTTCTGCATCCTACCTAATACCTAAAGGTTAAAATATGTTAAGGGTGACCATGCAGAAACAACCACAAATCTTACAACCACAATGACATTTTATATACAATTCGTAGTGGCTATTTTTATTTAAAGTTGATAGATTCACACACATCACTTTTGTGTCCTTCAGTGACAAATTCCTGTGGAGACAGGCTGTATGAAAAAACTATTCTTGCATTAAAATTTTGTGATCTTGGAATTTCATGTACAGGAAAAATATATTACACTATTTAAATGCACATATTTCAATGACACTGAGTTCTTTAAAAACAAATAAATAAATATTAAAATACGTGAAACCATACTCTAGTGTAAAATTAGTCTTTTTGCCAGTTATTTCACACCATCTTCAAATATTGCATGATTCGCCCATGTGACATGCAAAATGAAACTTTTTTAAATGGCACATACGTAATATTATAGTATTTTAAATCAAGCTGAAATGCAATATGATAATTCTCGTTTCACTTCATACTAAACAAATAAAATACAAGACTGTAAAATTATCTTTAATTCTTTTAAATCAGACATTCATAATACAAGAAACATTTGAATATGTGTGTTGTATTAATCACATGGGCATACCTTACCACTATATTGAGATATAAGAAAACAGTTCTTGTTCTGCACAGAACTCACCAAAGTGGACATTTCTTATACTTACCAACTTCTTACAACGTAGGATTTGGATTAAACAGGATAGTGTGCATATCTAACATAAGTTTCATGGACATATATGTGTCAGGTTTTGAAACAAAATATCAGTGATTTTCCTGGGGTTCTCTCTTGAGCAGGAACAGTTTTGGGTGTACCGTTCTTTTCTATAACATGCTGTTTGGAAGAAAATTGGAGGATAAGATGGAAAATTGACTTATACAGAGTGTAACTGAAATGTGTAGACAAACTTTGGGCACTTGTTACAAATACCAAAAGAAGTAAAATATATCCATATCAACTTATGTCTGGAAGCATTCAACTTGTGAGTTATAGCTGAAAGAATACTGACATGGCTTGTGTAATTGATGGTTCATATCTTTTAACATATGAGACATATTTCAGTAGAGACAACAACCTCAAAATTCACAACCAACACCACTGGACAGAGGAAAATCCTCATAGTGTAATTCATTCTAGACACCAGCAGCGGTTTAGCATTAATCATGGGCAGGGGCTGATGGTGATTGCTTGATAGGCATGGTTTCCCCTACCAATCCTCATTCCATCAACTTCTCCATAAGCATTATCACCAGTACAGGTACAATAGGACATATGGTAGTCGATGTACCGAGGGGACCTAATATGAATTCCACCTCACACTATATGAAATCTTAACTATTGTAATCTATTGTAAACAATTGTAAGTATTGTAACTATATTCTCTTATTGTAATCAGCCAATGTACAATACCTGACTTGTCCTATATCATGTAATAATGATCTATAGATGAAATAAATAAATAAATAAATAAATAGATGTTTTGCCACCTCGGCCTACAGGCAATCACTGCAAGATTTCCTCTTGCATGATGTGCAAAAGCTACTGAAAATGTGAGGGGCAGACACATGAAAACGGGTCAGAAACCAGAACACATTAAAGAACATTTCTTACCTCAAAAGCAATCTCCAAACTGTTAACCCATTTTTCCCACTGGGAGATAAGACGGTCAATCCCATCCTTAAAGAAGCTTGTGGGCTGTCTATGGAACCACATCTTTGCCCAGCCACACATGTCTCCCTCCGATGTAAACCGATGTCCACAAATGTCTTTCTTCAGGTCTCCAAAAATGTGAAAATCACATGGGGAGAGATCTGTTCTGTAGTGGGGATGTTCAAGCACTTCCCAAACAAATCTCTAGAGCGATTCCTCACAGTTGGCAGTGTGGGGGCACGCATTATCATGAAGAAGGATAATGCCGTTCGGTAGCATTCCAGGGCGTTTTGACTTTATGGCACGTCTCAGTTTCTGCAAAGTGTCTTCATAGCGCTGTGCACTGATTGTGGCCCCATGCTCGAGAGAGTTGACAAGCAGAGGGCCCTTGCAGTCGAAGAAGAACATTATCATCACTTTACCGGAACTTGTGTATACGACTTTGGATTTCTTTGGTGGGGGAGAATTCACATGTTTCCATTGTTGGCTTTGCCGTTTGCTCTCGGGTTCAAAATGGTGGCACCAAGTTTCATCCCCAGTGGTAATACGGGACAGAATAGCATACTCTTCCTCAAAGTACTGTTGCAAGTGACCCAGTGTTGCAGCTATTCTCTGAGTCTTCTGTTCCTCCATGAGTTGATGTGGAACCCACTGCGTGCAGATTTTGCGGTACAACAGGTGTTTTGTCACACTGGCGTGTACGGAACCATGACTTATTCCCATCAAAAGACTAATTTCTTCCACAGTGATCCGTCGGTTTGCCCGGATATGACCATCCAACGCAGCAATAACATCAGGAGTGATGACACGACGAGCCTGTCCTGGGCGAGCATCATCTTGCAGTGACACACGTTCCTCTCAGAATCTCTTATGTCACACCAGCACATGCGAACGTGACATGCTGTGTTCACTGTAAACAACAGACATTCGACGATGAATTTCTCGTCCTCCTACTCCTTCAAAAGTTAAGAAGCGCACTATGCTTTGCTGTTCTTCTTTACCTGCCTCCATTACTGATGTTAGGTGACCACATGTAGTGCTAACCTTACTTCCAGCACAATAAACAAACGACTAGTGTGCAAGGGCACGTTATCACTGTGCTTTCCCGAGTCCCCACCAGATGTTCATACCGTAAGCAAATTCCAGTATGTATGTATGTATGTATTTATTTATTTCGTCTCTATAGATCATTGTTACATGATATAGGACAAGTCAGTTACCAACTTGCGCGCTGTGTGAGTTATGCGTGGTGACCCGTTTTCATTTGACTGCCCCTTACATTATATACTACTGGCAGGCAGGGCGCGAATGGGATACATGCATGACAGTGCTTTGGCACATTTTAGCCATGCTGTGTGAAATGTTCTTAATAACATCTACCATGATGGAGGACCCACTACGTTGCCTCTCCAAGCTGGCCAAATTTGATTCCTCTGCAGTTTTGCCTGTGGGAACACCTAAAAACTGTTGTGAATGCAGTTCCTATTGACAACAAAAAGGCACCACACCATTTAATTTAGGATGTCTGTTAGACAATTTGGAACTACCCTGGCATTTTTTAATGGATGCGTCGGTCCGTGATGAGTCATGTTGAGGCATTTATTAAGTCTCATGGAGGACATTTGGAATACTGTCACACGAAGGGGGAATGCGTGACTAATAATTGTGGATTCTGGATTGGATGATTAGGTTCATTTGACGTCAGTATCACAATTACACTCAATTATAACAGTTCATACATTTTCTGTGTTTTCTCGTACTTCACTTCTGATTTTTGACTTCGCTTCTGAGCTCTGCGTCTATTCAGGAATGTATCTGCTTGGCGTACTGGGTAGGGGACACCGAGTCGAACAGTTCTGTATTTCATATCTGCGGTAACTATCTGCTTAAGCAGGCGTTACCACGGAAAAACATCCAGCTCTGCAGTAACATACTATATGCCTAGTCGAGTCACGCAAGTGCATGTATAATGATCCCATGGAAATTCTGTTGTCACGGGAACGTGCTCTGTTATTATTCGTTGCTTAGGAAATCAACTTCCGAGCTGACTCCACTATTCCGGTTTTCAGGCGTCACGTCACAATAATTATTGCAAATGTATTATTTCTGCGATAACTCACAAATTAAATGTTTCCGGAAACATGAGGATACGAACAATTTTTCTTGTTTTGGCATGTGATAATCGTGACCAAAATTTGTCCGCACCTTCAGTTACACTCTTTATAAGGAGTGAAACGACGTTCGCGAACAAGCTCTCCACAATGCGATTCCTTGCTAATAAAGAGTCCAAAATGATATAGAATTTGTCCTAAGGTGCTTAGTTTTCGAGATGCATGTCACGCTAAATGGGGTAGGCCCAAATATAATTCTCTGCAGTGTTATCACGAAAATATATAACGCGTTGCTAGGTGTACTTAATATTGAGCACAGCGTGGGTCCTTTGTGATTGAATGGTCGCGGGATTCACGAGAAACTGCGACATGCTCTTATTCCCCGGTAAATGTAGTTGTCGAGCTAGGACGAGGCGTATCAGAAAGTTCCTGGGCTAGATAAAAAAAGAAATTGTGGCGTAACTTTCTCAATTTTGGCTGCCATCTCCTTCAGAATAGTCTCCTTGTGAACGTATACTAGTGATCTCATCGTTTTCTCCACACTTCCAAAGCCCCATGGAAATAATTTTCTTTATGCTGTCGAGTACCACTTACGATTCCCCTTGGATGTCAGACACTGTTTCAAAACGTCCCTTCAGTTTAATTTTCAGTCTGGCAAACAGTTCGAAATCACACGGGGTTAAGTCCGGCAAGTAGGGAGGATAGGGATGCATTACGTTAATCTGATCCAGGTCATCGCGACACTGATACGTTTAGACCAGTGGAGCAGCGTCTCCATTAGACGGGAAGTGTTGAAACCTATGGCATATGTGAATACAGGACCCTCACGGACTCTACGGACACTCGCCAATGAAGAAGCCGTAATTGCAGCTGTGAAACGAAATTCATGGGGAAGCTCACGCAATACTGCACCAGAATTGCGACTATCCTAACCGAGGGTCCTCGAAATACGGAATGGCGATATAAATGCATCCATATTACTCCTCGCAGAGCACCAATATGGCCTCCATCAATGCAATATTACGAATGGTCACAGCATCAATACAATGAGGATGAGCTCTATTTGCATAGCATTCTGTGAACAATTGAAGTATGTTTGACACCTGATGGCGTGTTTCCGCGTCCACAAAATTCACTAGCAGTTTTATCGACCTGCCAGAAAATAACGCTCTCTCTGGGCTTAGTAGTATAATGTACCTCAAAGTTTTTGATGATCTGGGGAAATGGATCACTTGCTATTATTTTCTGTCCTTTGGTTAAACCTGTAAAACAAGAAAACAGTTATTAACAAATGGAATCATGAGTTTATTGGGAGAAGGGCGGTAATTTTGTTTGCAAAGAAACAATAAAATGAAGTATATTATATTTAAGCATCCTGTTGCACTACACACTTCTATATGTAATAATACAAATGATAGAAATCCGACCCAGCAATACCAAAGGACAGTAAAACAAACACTGAAACAGTGTAATAATATCATACACAGTAATAAATGGAAATACACAAACATGAATCCTACAGCCCCAAGCCTACACGCCACAATAAAATTACACAAACCTAACACACCCATTAGACCAATAATAAACTGGAAGAACGTCCCAGCTTACGAAATAGCAAGAAAATTAGCAAAAGTATTGCATTACTTACTTACTTACTTACTCATGGAGCTGAGCCCTTCCGGAGGAGCCGCCAATTCTGCAGCTTCTCAAGAATTTCCCAGTATTTCATGTAAACCGAAAGTTCATCACCGTGTTCACAAGAGCCCTCCTCTGGTCCCTATCCTGAGCCAGATCTATCCAATCCATAACATCCCATCCTATCTCTCTAAGATCCATTCTAATATTGTCCAACCATCTACGCCTTGGTCTTCCTTGTGGTCTCTTTCCTTCTGGCTTTCCCACCAGTATCCTATACACATTCCTCGTCTCCCACATTCGTGCTACATGACCTGCCCACCTCACCCTCCTTGACTTGATCATTCTAATTATACTTGGAGAAGAGTACAAGTTATGAAGCTCCTCATTATGCAGTTTTCTCCAACCTCCTGTCACTTCATCTCTTCTGTCCAAATATTCTCCTCAACACCCTGTTCTCAAACACTCTCAGTCTATGTTCCTCCCTTAATGTCAGAGACCAAGTTTCACACCCATACAGAACCACAGGCAAAATTATAGTTTTGTATATTCTAATTTTTATGTTTTTGAACAACAGACGAGAAGACAAAAGGTTCTGGACTGAATGGTAGCAAGCATTACCCGAGTTCAATCTCCTCATAATTTCGTTCTCAGTTAGGTTTTGATTTGTTATCGTTCTTCCCAAATATCTGAAATGTGCCACATTTTCGAAACATCTCTTTCCTATCTTGTTGTTATAGTTTTGCCCTGCAGTTTGGTGACGAGACAGTGACATGTACTCAGTTTTCTCTGTGTTTACTTCTAGACCAACCTCTTTACTTGCGTCAGTTAAAGTTTATGTATTTTTCTTTATGGTATCTACATTATCACCCAGTAGATTCACATCATCGGCGTAGACCAACAGCTGATGTGTCCCGTTTAATTTCAGTCCCACCTGGTTTCCCTGGACCTTCGTAATTGCATATTCTAAGGCAAA